CATTTCAACTTCTTCCCAATGAGAGTGAGTAGTTGAGATGTGAAGAAGTGTAGTTATAGACTTGAGAAAGGGTGCTGCCTAATTGTCCCCAATTGCACATACGTAGGAATTATGACTGCGCTCGCTTTAAAAAATTCATAAACTATGAAAGCTATGGTAAAAGCCATAAGAGTGATAACAGCCAATCTCTAACACCAGAAGCACACCCAAATCTCTCTACTGTTTTGATGATCAAATACTATTGGGTTAATTTAGGTGATTAAATGGTGGTGAAGGTGGTAATGATGACAATACAGTGGAACTCCAGTTTTCATACTCAATCCGTTCCAGGTCATTCTAAATCCGAAACATACAAAAACTGAAGCAATATTTCCCATAAGAAATAATGTAAATACGTATAACCCATTCCAGACACCCAGAAATATTAACAAAAAATAAATTTTTTGAGGAATAACAGTAGTTTTACATATAGAAAACAATGAAAAATAAATATAAATCACTAATGAAATGGATAAATGAACATTTAAATCACTATTACATACCTTTATTGAAGACTCATTTTGGGAGGAGAGTTTGTTTGGAGACAGGACAAAATACTTAAATACGACCCACTAATATCAACTCTATGGCTTATTTATCTATCACAATTCATCTAATATGACATAATAAACAATATTAATGACATAGAAACATGATATATACTCTAGAGTGAACAAAATATGTTATTACGTATGTGAGAAATGGTAGAGGTGGCGTTGTTGTTGGGTTTATAAGGGCCACTGACAGCATAAGCCATACATATAATGGTGGTGGTGGCAGCAGCAGAGGCCACCACCACTATTCACATTGAAACAATGTACGTAATTTCTAAATAAGAAATATTTACACTTTAATTTATAAATAAGAAATATTTATACTTACCTTGGAGGAGATACTGGCATTGGTTTAGGGTGGTGGAAGATACGAAAGGTGGCATATGTTGTCAGTGGCCCTATATACCTCCAACAACATTAGAGGAGTTTTGCCGTCATTTTTCTATTGCTTAATCGCTTAACTTACTTGCTACACTGTTAATGCTACACTTCATTGCTGGCTGGCGCTACAGCATTTATCGACTCCTGCTGCTTTAGTATCGTACATATTGTAGAATCACTGAATCACTGAAGAAGGCACATTCTCCCCTCTCTCTCAGCCCATGGTGGCTTATTTCGCAGTCAATCGATAAACAAGCACAAAAATTGCGAAATGTTTTAGACAAACGCTCACTCAACCAGTGACAAAGCCAGACTGACGGCGTCCCCGGGTGGGCAGACGTGTCTGATATGTACGATTTCCGGATCGAGGTCCGACATCCGGAACAAAATTTCGCCCCAAGAAGGGTTCTAAATCTGAAATGTCTGATATCCGGTACGTACGAAAACTGGAGTTCTACTGTATTTACAATTATGATGGCACTGATAATAATGGTATTTATAGTTCCATTTATCATTTAATGTGTGAGCACCAGTGAATCTCTTGAAAGAACAGGCACTCAAGAATTATAAAAGCCCAATTTATTATTATTTTTTTAACACATTGGCTGTTTCCCACCGAGATAGGGTGGGACATCCAACTACAACCAGCATTATGTAATTTAATCTTTTTAAATTTAAATGTTACCAGTATTAAACCAGTATTATCTCACAAATGATTGAATGATCCCTGAACAAACATTTATTTAACTTTCAGCTTATCCCTCTACTTAAATGTTTTGAGAAAAAATAATTAGTCGCACAGGGTGAGAATTTGCAGGGGGGCATAAGTTATTTGAACTGTTGATGTCAGTGCATCTCAAGCAGGACAGACCTAATGAATGATGGCAAAAATATTTCCTCTTTTTTTTTTTTTTTTTTTTTGGTGGGGGGGGGGGGGGGGGGTGTCAGCCTACCTTGGTGAGAAATGTGTGGTGTGTTAAAAAAATTAAAACATATTTAAATGAGCAAAGGAAGACAAAAATAAAATTAATACAAGCGCTTACTGGAACAACATTTCATTCTAAGTATAACTTTTTTTTTTTAAATCAAGAAGTAAAAATTTGCCTCAATAAGGACTTATTCTGTTACAAGTTTCCCCATTCCTGTCAGCACTATGTTCTTCAACCAGCTGTAACAGAGCCAAGAGAGGTGGCAGCTCTGGTGAACACAGAGGTTGGTTATTAACTGAGGAAGATGATTACCTGTGACTTGGTTTGATGTTTCTTATAATACTCAGAAACACTGCACATGGATCTCTACTCAATTTTCCAAATTAAAGGTTACTAAGTACTACAATAAAACTAAATACAATAAGCATTCCTTCATCTACAACAAACAAAATGTCAAAGGTTTGAAAAAAAAAAAAGCTATCAAAACAGAAATAAAGAGTGCCAAAGCATATCACACTCAACACAAACATAACCTCAATACAGCACAACTACAAATGAAGAATAAATAAATGAAAGAAATAATAAACAGAAAATAATGGCTAACTGAGAATAAGATTAACTAAACAAACTTAACTGTCAAGGCAAAAACTAGAGAAACTCAACAAAATGTGACCACATAATGTCATACATGCTTCACTTCAACTGATGTGAATACTTAGATGCTAAGATCAAGCATGAGACAGGGTGCATCTTACTGCTGTACAAGGAAGATTTCCTAAAAGCAAGGAAGAACATCAGACACCTGCTCCACCCACTATCTTGCAGAAAGTCTTTGACATGAAAGAAACATAAACAAAAAGCTACTGAAAAAAACATAAGAGGGGAAGGTAGGCATGGCAAAGATGTAAAGTACTGTATCTTGGAAGGATAACTGAACCCCAGCCTGAGTTATATGAACAAAAGAAAAAAGGAGCACTGCTACAGGCCTATGGGCCAAAACTAAGCAGGTCCACCTCACACCCAGTCATGTACCCGTCTAACCTATTTTTAAGTGTACTCAAGATTTTAGCTTCAATGACTACTTGGAAGTTTGTTCCCCTTATCCACAACTTGATTACCAAACCAATACTTTCCTATATCCTCTCTAACTCTAATTTTTTTCCAATTTGAACCCATTACTGCGAATCCTGTTAGATATTTTTAGATATTTTTAGATATTTAGATATTTTTAGATATTGTTAGATATTTTTAGATATTTTTATTTATTCCTGTTTTCTATTTATGCACCTCAATCATATCCCTAAATCTATGCCTTTATTGAGAGTGCAGACTCACAGTACAGATGCCAGCGATGGGCCGGTTGAGAACAAACTGGCCCCTCATAGGATAAATGACTTATTTCAGTGCAGGTAAACCATTGCTAGCCCAAGAACAGAAAGACAAGAGGAGGTAATGGGGATCCCAGAGTAGTGAAATGCAAGGCTCCCCACAGAAAGTGCAGGGAGCACTTACAATCAATGTGTGCAAGATGAGGAAACCTGCTGTCAGCAAGACTAGTAGGAAGCTACATCAAACAAGCTGCCAGCTCATCAACTGTTTGTTTCACTGTAGAGGTGCCAGCAGCAGATTTAGCCACTGATAAAAACAAACGAGTTAACAGGATGGGACTCAAGAAAAATTCTGGTGCCCAGAGAACCCATTACACCTCTCAGGCCTCAATTCAAAGGCAGAAGTTCCTCAGGGCAGGAGCAAGAACACACTCTTTTGATGGAGGCAATGATCAAGCCAGCCCCAAAAGGCACTACAAGATGCATTCACAATGACATAACATCAAACAAATGAAAGTGCCTTCTACAATAAGCACTTGTATAGAACAATGCTAGTGAAGAGACAGACTCAGTCTGATGGAGAGCATGTAGGACTGGTTACACAGCTATTAAGTCAGTGGGGCAAACAGCAAATGACGATTCTGAACAGAAATCCTACAGCAGGAAGGACAATCACAAGTCTTGAAGATAACAGTAGGGTCTCCAGAGATCTGGTAAAATTAAATGCCAGTTACAAGGAAATATCCATAGAAGAGAGGTTGTATCTGTTTTCAACAGACTGAGAATGGTGAAGGGGTCTCAGAGCCTTGTGTGTGTGGGGGTGGGGGGGGGGGGGTTACAGTTTCATACTATGCATGAAGCATGTGAGGTTTAGTGAAGTCCAGAGAGGTGAGTACTGGTGTGAATAATGTACAGTATGACAATCCAGGTAGGGCTCCCTGGGGCTCCCACCACAGAAATACAGCTAAAACAATGAAGTTATTAAGAAATGCTACTGAACTATATACCCTTTACCAGGCCTGGAGAGGGGTAATTACTCTTTTCCACTCTTGGTAAAGGGGTAATTACCCTTTCCCAGGCCTGGTAAAGGGTTATTAATGAGTTCTTTTAAGAGTTATGCCACACTGGAATGAAGTTATTATTTAGTTATAGGATTTAAAGCATTAAATCAAATAAACACAAATTTTCACTGACTATTTACAGACAGGTTTTAAAGAGTCTGCCTGAAACTCATGCAAAGATTAACACAATTAACATGTTTTTATATTAAAAATGATGGCGTGTCAACAGTTACAAATTAGAATACTACAGAAGATCCTGTATTATGGTTTTCATGGCCTGTTTTCACTGCTCTTTCATTAATGTAATGCAAACTGACAATATAAAATTGTTGAAGCAGATCCGCCCTAAAGAAGAAACACCTAAATGTTTCAACATAAACACTGAAAATTATTAAAAAAGTTAAAGATAAATTTCCACATTTTCTAAATGAAGATTACCTCCATTTCCTAGGTACTGTATGACTACTATGACCTCCTGAATACCAACTTTATGATTTCATTTATAAAACAAAAAAAAAAAAATAACTATGTATCATTGTAATATTTTAAGTTATAAGGAACTGTAGTTTTCTTGTGTATATATTACAATTCAGGTTCTTCTGTAATACCTTTGGGCAGAGTTTTTCTTTTTTAGATTTTTATTGGGGTAAGTGAGAGGGGTAAGGGGAGGGGAGGGGAATAATTTTGGGAGCACACTATCATTACTACCTGAAATGTTGTGATGAACGGGATTTATTGGCTGGTTTTCTTCTATAAAATATAAGATTATAGGTGAAAATGTAGATGTAATTCTCTCTGAAAACCATATGAAATTATTTAATTATGACTGTCTCACAAGGTAAGGGCAGTGACTGAACTATCAGAGAGGACCTACCAACATCCCCTCCCATGCTGATTGGTGAATATTACAAACCAACTCTAACTGAGCCTTGTATTGCATAGGATTTTAATAGACAAGTGAACTGGTACCACAAGCAATCAGAAATTTTAGTGATAATTTAAATATAAATCAGTTTTTAAAACAAAACAAAGAAAATTTATATAAACTTATGAGACTGATTACAGATATAGTATTATTTCTTAATATCTTAGTCAGTAGCAATATATGAATTAATTAGTAAGAAAAACATTACAAATGGGACTATAAGATAAGGAAAAAAAGAGAAGGGAGGACTGGAGTACCCTTTAAACAAGGCTCAATTTCTGATCCATCCAAACCATGATACGGTACTAAGTTTCAAAGAATGAAAAACATCTTCCTGTATATGTTTGGAAAAATTACTTAGAATATATCCTATCAGTTCTACCTCTTCAATCATCCATATCAGACCCTCCCTATGACTTTTAATTCAGTCTGGCCTCCTCCTGAATTCGATGCTCAAAAGAATTCCTGTTTTCTAAGCCAAAAAGGAAGCTTAGACTTGCATTTTCAACACCAGAGTTGTAGCAGCTAGCATAGGGAGGTGGCAGTCTTTGTGGTTCATTGCATCATATGCAGCAAGATATTTTTCATTCTTTAATATAGTAAAATATTCTGTATAATGATTCTGATGAGCAGCTAAGAGTCCTACCACTGAGGAGGGCACTGGAACCAGAGGCCTGGCATTTCATGGTAGCACAGCACTTGTACAGGAGAATTCTCCTTACTTGTGGGCATTTTTAAGGAACTGCTGAGAATAATCTAAACAGCTAGGATGTGAATATTCCCATCTCCCTGCTCAAGAGAAGAGTCCTGAGCACTGCATTCATGTCCAGCAGCCCATTCATACTAAGCTTCATATCTAACATATCCAAACACTTTGATGTAATCAATAACAGAAACATGGTCTGCATGCACATCTGAAGAATTCACCATTACTAAAAGGAGTTAGAGAATTAACTGCCTACACTAAGGGTGACACCAGCTGGTTATTTTGGTGTCATGCTCACTTTTGTTTATACTAGTATAGGCCACATCACACATGACTAAAATTAACAGGCACAGTTAGTGGTCAAATTATGACCTATTGTTTTTATGGTTCAGGTCTCGTTGAGAGACATCTATAGGCTCAGAGTGAACCTTTCTGTAGCATGACCAATGATTAACTTTGCTATGTAGTGGATACATGTTAAAATCAATGTGGCTTCCTGAACAAATATACTATCTAAAACATATAAGGAAACTGTCCAAATGGTCTATTTATCTTTTCTAGAAGCAGTACTAATGAATGCAACCTTTGATGGGCCTGGTATTCCACTACAAGAACAACTTTATGAAGCTAAATTAACTTAAAAAGTTGTCATTTATGCTGGTTTCCCATGAATACTACTTCTTTGACTGCAGGAAAAGAATTACAAAGGTTGTAAGCAAATTGTACTACATAATTGTTGGTTGCATATGATCTCCAAAGGAACACATATTGCCAATGCCAAGGAATCATGACACCCCTATGATGTTATGGGCACAAACTTTGGATGGTCTCAGGGATTTATTACTTACCAAATGGACAGAACCTTGAATTAGCATTAAGACTGGATGGGGAAATAATAAATAGTCCCATCTGCTGGAGTTATTTAGGCACTGTTTGGACAATAGAAGGTAGTCCATTAGTGCACTACTTGGGCAGTCTACTAATCTTTATACCGTCTGTAAGAAGATGGGTACTGTTGAATCTGTTCTAGAGAAGGAATTTCAACTTAGGCCTCAGAGCACCACTTGAAGTACAGCCTCATATGTGAAATGATGTTCTCTTTAACCCCTGTAGTGTATCTTCTCTTATGCCAAAAGCTATTGCAAGCAGAAAATATTATTTGTGCTTCAAAATTATCTGGCCCTAAGGCAAACTAAATGAGAGTAAAGATTTAATATAATCCAGGACCCTTCTGGTGACCATTCCAAAACTATCTTCAGGTCATCAAGGTCTGAAGTGGAATACTCAAAATATGTTAATCTCTCTTCTAAAGTGCACTTACAAATCTGTACAGTACAGCCTTGCCTGGCTTATAATGATTTATTTTTTTTCAGTCTTTGGAAAGTTATAATAAAGAACTGGGCAATTCCCAAATACACATCATGTTTTGCCATAAAGAACTGAGTGAATGCTTTCAAAACTAGTAAACTATATCCCTAATTCATTGGATGTCATAAGCAAGTTCTAAGAAAAGAGGAAATCCCTCTACCTTTTAGGCCAAAAGAGTTGCAAAGTTCTTACTCAGGTTGCTCAACCCTGTCATAAATCTCCCACATATACATACGTTTTTGAGGCTACTGGCCTAAATTATGCTTTGAGCGATAATATTGGTGCTAGATATGAAAGAATTGGTCTGTACAATATGAAAAAAAAAAATCCTGTCCCTACACAGTGCATAATGAAAATAGATAACCTCTGATCTTGTACTGGGGTTAAAATAGCAACTTTTGAAGTGTTCTTGATTTTATCGACTGTCTTTTTGTGTCAATTGACAGACTGGAAGAGTTACTAGTGAAATCGGAAGTGGTCTGAAAAGGCCCAAGGATATAGCAGCCCATACCCCCCAGTCTGTTATATGGGTTTTTACTAGGTCTGCTTCAATTACTGAATGGCCTAAATCATGGCCAATCGTTCTTTATTAGCCAAAAAACAGAGTAAAACTTTGATTTTTTGTGTAATGATGGATTCAAAATGGAAGGAAAGGTTGTAATTGTGGCCGGAATACCCACATTGCTTATTATAAACTCTGTTATTAAATTGGAATTTGCTGAATTTTGTGCAAAACTGGCCAAATTACTGACCTCTGGGTGCTTCCTAGGGTAGTTCTGATATCGTAATGGGTAGATTCTTACACCCAATCAACAGAAGGGAAGGCATACTAGCAAAACAGCCAGGAATTAAGTGGGTTCGAGTAATGGAACTCACCTACAACATGTGTCATATACTCCCTGACCTCCAACTTCACACCTGTGTAATTTCCTAAATTTTGCATCAAATTTTGCATTTCTGGTGTTATTACCATTGGAAAAAGATTTTCTACCATTTTAGATGATAAAATTATTTAAAAATAAAACTGAAACATAGATGGGGCTTTTAATTTTGGGGGCCATGACAGAGAAAGGGTTACAACTATCCACCATAGCAAAGTGACTTGGCATAAGGGGATGATTATATATATAAAAAAAAAAATACTAGTAAGTCCTGAAAATTGAGTTGTGGATGAGACAGTATATTTTCGTGAGAATCTGTGAGTAGATTATAGACAAGGGCATCACTACAAACTGGTAGGTCTTGCCATGGAGCTGGAATGTGAAATACTCTATCTACATGACAGTTTTTGATAGAATGACTTTAAGATCTATGAAAGATACCCAAGCCTGGAGGAGCTTATTACATACATCCTAGAGCTTGTGTACTTACTGTATTTCCTGATGATGATGATGATGCCATATTATAACTATTTAGAAAAAGACAGCTCAATAAAATCTCATTGCTTGTGGATTGCTTATTTGTCTATTGAAGAATATACATGTTAGCACCTTGGATTTGTTTATGGGTAGCCATATTTATTGCTTTGTCATCCTCAATTACTGTAATATTATCTACTGACACTTTGTACACTATGAATCCTCTGTTCTGTCCTCCTATTCCTCTCTGATGTGGAATCCATTATTATGACATATGGATACTCTTCACAACCATCATTTATTACAAGGCCTATTTACTTAACACTAGATATGTCTCATTTTCCTCCATTCTAAAGGAACAAATGAACCTAGTGTAGATTATCAAGTGATCTAGGCCTGTCACCTGTCTATACATTAGGGATGACAATGGACAACAGAAAAGGAAGGCTCTCAACTGACAATGCCTGGTGTAAGAATGGTGTTAAGGCTGCTGTACCAGTTCCCATACAAGCATAAAAACCCTGAATCTGCTAGAACATGGAAGAAAGCCAGACTAGGGTAACAGTGGCAGGGAGGTCCTGAAACGGAGATTCAGGAGGAAAAACTAATAGGGTATATTACAAGTGATTCATCAGAACCAATATACAGAAATTTATAATGTGTGATAATGTAAACATTTAATTTTGTAAGTCTTGAGGTCATGAAGAAATATTAATCACTAAGTCATGCAGATCAACTGAAGCATATTAACTATAAAATAATACAATACTTGTAATTAAAACTTTAAAAATACAGTATATAATTTGTATACATGTAAAAGAGCAGCATAGTAATTTTCAATGAAACCTAGCCAAATATTTGAAAGCACAATAATACAGACATCTTTTCATGTTCGGCACCTTCCTGCATACAGTGGAACCTCTACTCATGAGTGTACCCACATGCAAGTTTTTCCAGATACAGTGGACCCCCGGTTAACGATATTTTTTCACTCCAGAAGTATGTTCAGGTGCCAGTACTGACCGAATTTGTTCCCATAAGGAATATTGTGAAGTAGATTAGTCCATTTCAGACCCACAAACATACACGTACAAACGCACTTACATAAATACACTTACATAATTGGTCGCATTCGGAGGTAATCGTTATGCGGGGGTCCACTGTACGAGCAGTTGCTCAGTCGATTTTTTACTTCCAGACGTGAGCGAAATCTCCAGATGCAAGCGGGTATCAAGGGAGGTTCCTGGACGCTGGTGAGAGGCTCTTGTTCTTGATCTAGGGAATTGGATCTCATTTGTTTGTTGGACTATCTTATTGAAACTTGGGCAATGAATGAAGGAAAGAGGCTTCTTAACGTACACCAAAATTGAAAGAAATCAGACCATAAATAATGGAGTTCACTTCTCAGCTATTAGCTGCCCCTTAGAGGTATATTTTT